CTGCTGAAACATCTCAAATAAAAAATTCCACTTTAGTGCCAAATAAGAAAAGACCAACTGCAATGGACTTCTTCTAAGCATATAAGGAGAGGACTCATTTTGTACAGAATCTTTCAGCAACCAGCTGTTTCTGGAGGTATTTTTGCTTTTTTAAAGTTAACTGGATAGCATACATAAGGCCAGCGTGACTTATGATGCTGGTACTTTACTAAGCACTTTTGTTTGAAACAGCTTTGTGTATGTTGTCCAAAAAAAGAATAATTTGAGTTTCTAATTACAGAGCCTTATTGTGTGTGTTTTTAAAAATCCTGTCATGTGGTGAATGAATTTGTAAAAAATTATTCTAAACTATTGCTTGGGTGTTTTTGTAGAACACAATTAAATGAGGGGGATTTATCTTTATAGCCCGCTCTAGGCAGCTAAGTACACAACTCCCTTTTTATGCTTCCTTTTCCCTAACGACCTGCCTTGCATCTTCTTACCAATGGTTTTGGATTAACCTCTGAATATCATCTCAGATGGATTAGGTCTATATAAAAACAACTGGAGTTTTCTTGATTGGGTAACCATTTGGTTAATGCATTTTATTGACTGTAACTCAACTACTGCACTCTTGTGTGCATTTCCCAATAATTTGGATTGGCATTGTTGCCTCTTTCAGATTTTGATTGAGCAAAAGAATACATGCTTTTTTCCCCATTAGTGAACCTGTGCTTTTTAAACATTTACTTCTTACTCACCAAATAACATTGTCTTTCCCCCATTAAGATTCTGCTTTACTGCACCTGTTTCTATAAGCCTTAATATCTTTTGCTACAGGGTGAAGGTGGCTTTGAAAATGGCCATATCTTAAATCTGCAGCACACAAGATCATTTACATTAGGCATGGAAGATGTATGTGTGACTATACAAAATATATGCGTACATGTGTGTGTATACTCACACACATACATACACACATGTATATATATATATAATTTTTTTAATCAGATCATTAATCTGCTGGGGAAGTTGCTGTCTTAAATAGTACAGTTTAGGTTGAATTTTTGCATGGGATTTCATCCCTTACAGTGTGGAGATAGCTTGTCATTTAGTCTGCTTTCCCTTCCAGATTATTTCAGGAAACTGTTGTGTGAATAATGAACGACAAATATATATATATATATTTCATTTCAGCTTTTTCAACTTGAGCTTCAGGATCGATAGCTCCTCTGGGCAGCTGAGTATTTTTCAGGAAGTTGCGAACTAGTGGATGTCCTTATGGACTGCACTGTGTGAATGGTTTTGTCCACGTGCCACTGTTCTGAGAATGTTTTTAAAAAAAAAAAGCTTGCTTTTCCCCCTCCCGTACAATTGTAAATAGTACAAACTAGTCAAAATTCAAAGACTTGAATTCTGTGGACTTCTTCTCTCTGATGTTTTATGTCTTGGTATATAAGTATGATGGCTTGGATCCAAGGTCCATTTTCATCGTTTCTGCCACGCCCTCCTCTCAGATGCCCAGGCAGCCCGTTGTGCTGTTTTCCGGGTTCCTTGTCCCAGGAGGACAGCATTCCAGGGAGCACAGTGGGCTGCAGCAGGAGTGGGAAGGGAAGAAATCTCTTTTCCATTGATGGAACAGAGATCAGCAGAAATCAAACTTTGGATCCCACCCAATGGAAAGAATACTTCTTAACAGAAATGTTAGTATTTCCTCTTTAAGATGACATTATATAAACAAGAAATCCAATGTACTACTTCTGAAAACTAGTAGGATTCTAGGGAACTATAAAAAACAAAAGTTAGGGATCTTCCTTTGCGTAAGCCTTTTATGGAGTCTGCATAGAATATAGCATAATGCACTCTTCTTAAAGTATTCTGATATTATAGTAATCCTCCAGTTTTCCAGTCTAGAACTCAAATACAGAGTATATAAAGTCTTCTTTATATATACAGAGTATATAAAACCTTCTACCAGTCTACACCTTAGGGCTTTATGCTCATCCTAATAGGCATGAATGACTTTGTCAGGTGTTTTGCAGGACAAAAGTGGCAATCTCCCCCCCCCCCCCCCCCGGGCCGGAATGTTAAAGTAATATGAGTTCTGGATTAGAAAGAAAGTAAATCTCCTTATGGCTAATTTTCTAGAAGACAGTTATTGTAGACATGATTGTGTAGTATACATCTTCCATGTTTACCCACTACTTTGCCAAGAGTTTAATTCAAATCAGAATATTAATTTTAATTTCTAACACTATTTAGAATAAAAGAGTTAGTGGCTTGTATTAAAAAGCAAAACTTTGTAAAGATTTTTATTTTTTGTAAATAGTTACTTGGTTTTGTAATTAAGCTGAAGCTTCTGTAAAACAAAGCCTGTTGAGTTTAAACTTTTGTGTTTAAAAATCTTTGAGTAATTTTTTTTAATCAAAGTTGTGTAACTTAAAAGGCATCTTTTTAAATCTGTTGTTTCCTCTGCATCTTATTGTCAGAGTAACATGTGAGGGTGGGCATTATGCAGCATTCACCTCTGATTCCATGGAAATAGGCTGCTTAGACTTGGCTAATAAAGCTGTTTCTTCCCATGAAACTTGGCATTGCTTTGTTCTTTTTCTGAACCTCAAAGCTGTTCTTACTTCTAAGGCTTGGGTTGCAGTACTTTAAACCAAAATCCAACATACATTTGAAATGAGATCTTGGTGAAAACAAAATAAGAACTGTCTTCTGACAGTCTAGCTGTAGCTAGCGGAACATAGGAAAGCAAGTAAGGTGTGCTTCTAGGCATGGAGAGAATGAAAGCTGTTCAGGAAGCAGCATTCAACCGCTTAAATCAATGTACCATGCAATCCCTGCAGCTCTAACTCAGATGCAAAATCTGGTTTGAACACACCAGTGCTCTCAGTTTTCCACTGCCTTGTGTGCATGTTTTGACGAATAAAATATGCAGAAATGTGACTCAACAAGCAGATAACTCTGACCAAGTGTGGACTGAAAGAAATGGCTCATGTGATGTGAGCCATGCTTAGAAAGCATACTGCTGACTGATGCAGTTTAGGACCGGGGGTGGGGGGGGGGCCCTTTTGTTTTGCAGATGTCTTGTTCTTTCTTTTGGTTCACACAGACCACTAACTGTATTCTTCTCTTCCACCCCAACCCCAGTTTTACAGAAAGTTCATAAAGATTTGCCTAAAAGAAACTATCCAAACAGTTATTGGAATAATCTGCTGTAAAACCTAGTTCTTAGAAGGAAGCATTCTTTCTTCAAAGGCCTTGAGTAGTGGACAGTATTCCAGTTCCTGTACCTGTAATTACACTTTATGGCCCTTTTCACATTACCGGTTTAGAACCGTTCTAAACCGGATGTTATTTGTTGTTGGCCCAATTTTGAGTAAAGCGATCCAGGGACTGGGGTTTCATACATCAAATTTCCTTCGTTAATGAGCCATCTCTGAAGCACTATGGTCATTTCAAACAGTGCAGCTTTTTTCCTTTGCCCTTTTTCACCACACAATCTTCCTCTGACCTTTTTAAAAATGTTCTAAGGTGAGTGCTATAGCGGCACCATTGAGATCCATTTATTATTATTATTATTATTTGTTATTATTTGTTAAATTTATATCCCGCCTTCCCCCGTAGGGCTCAGGGCGGCTTACATAGCAAAAGCTTGCTCATAAAACATCGAGTACTATAATACAATTTAAAACCATAATATACAATTTAAAAACCTAAACAGATAATAAAGTGCTCAAACTACTCAGCATCCATACTACAACATCAGAGAGGGCACCACATATCAAACATCCCTTCGTAGGCATAGTATAAAAGATGTTATAATCAGATGTTCCACCGATGTTCCTCCTAATCTCCTAGGGCCCTCACCCCCCCACATTGATGTTATACAGCGGGGGGGGCAGCGGCGGCGGCCCCTAATCGAAAGCCTGGTGGAAGAGCTCCGACTTACAGGCCCTGCGGAATTGCCCCAGATCCCGCAGGGCCCGGATCTCTCCGGGAGCTCATTCCACCAGGCAGGGGCCGCCACCGAGAAAGCCCTAGCCCTCGTGACGACCAACTTAGCCTCCTTGGGGCCCGGTATGGTTAGAAGGTTTTGGGCCCCCGACCGTAGCGCTCTTGGGGGAACATACGGGGAAAGTGCTCACCTTAGAAGGTTTTTTTAAAAGTCCAAGGAAGATTGCATGGCAAAAAAGGCAGGGGGAAACGGCATTGTAGGAAGCACTATGGGCTTTTTAAACAGCACACCACAGCGATTCAGAAGCGCGACTAAGGGGTTGAAAACTGAAAAAAACAATCTCCCTCAAAAGCAGCTCAACCATGCTTTGCTAACCTGACACAAGTGGGTTTGTATGAACAGGTAAATAAATTCCGCTAGCAGCTGATTACTAAAACAGGTCTGCCTGAAATGACAGAAAAATTCATTAGCAGCCGGTTACTAAAAGGGAATACAAAGGCATCTTGAAAAGGGTCTGTATCAAGGGGATGAAGTTGTGATTGTTCTATATTGTATCTGTCACTATCAGTTGAGTATTTGCAATTATCTTATTACATGAATGGTACAGGTTAAGATCTTGGGGTGAATCCAACCAGCTTTTATGCACATGAAAAAGGAAGGAGAGGGTCGTCTTTGTTCATCAAAAAAGATTAATCTGAGAATTATGGGACCTGCATGTACAAAATGGACGTGGGACAGGGGCTATAATATGAAAAGCAACTGGCAGAAGATCAAACTAAGCAATACGTTTGACACAAGTTGGGCCAAGGTTTTCATGCAGTCGTACTTGCTGTTGGGGAACTAAAAATCCCAACCGTGCCAGGGCCCAGTTTAGCTTGGAGCATTTCATGTTGTTGGGAGGGGGCTTCAGCTTTCCCCTGCACCATTTTACCCAGCTGCAATGTCCACAAGGGAGTCCAGTTTGCCCCACTTTAGGGCTGCATGTGTACTCACTGCAACATGTGTGAAATATATCATCTACTTTAACCCTGAGCTGTCTGGATCCAGCCTCTTATGCAGAAGGTTTAACAAGTGGAATGATTTTCTATTTACCACTTTGACAGGTGATATGGGAAAGTCTCACACTGGATTTGGCAGCTGGTATCACATCAGTTTCAAGTGAAACAAGCTACTGGCCATCAGTTCCTGGGGATCGTTGTAGCCACAGTTAGGATTTCCTTCACTTTGTTTGTTACAGTAACTGTGCATCACGTCTTCTGTGAACAGGTTTCACAACCCCCATGATTGCCACCGCACCTCCCCATACCCTGTCGTGGCTTATCCTTTGGCTGATGCTATGCAGCAGCCACCTGGTAATCTTCATGGCTGACTATGATATTTAAATTGGGGTCTCCCAAATTCAGACCAAACCAGTGCATCAGTGTGGGTTTCATATTATCTACTATATCTTCTTTTTTGAACTTGAGTGCTCTTTATTGTTGTGTTAAGAGCAATATTGAGCTTCAGCTCTTATTCCTGACAATCCGTTCCACATAGCCAGTGCTGTGGCTACAAATGTCAAAAGAACTTTTGAACACTCACTGAATGAAAGGGCTTTGAAGCTGTGTCCCACAACACTTGTATGAGCTAAGTCTCCTATTTTCAATGTTAATATATATATATTTAAAATGGGCAGAACTTGTCGCTGTTTTGAAAGAAAGCTTCAGATCCACTAACTAACATTTGAAATAAATTCTGGTGTGCCTCTGTTTTGGACCTGGTATAATGGGAGATTTTGTAGTCAAGCTGTTAGGAGATCAATGATTCAGGACTTTGCAGTATGTGGCCTTAAAAGCTATAATTAGACATGTATTTGCTTAATATATATATATAATGGTTTCTTTTCTTCTGCATTAGAACAAAGGAATATA